ATGCCCATTAGAAAGCTCCAGAGCCCTCTCATCTTCTGTGTTTGCTAATGTGTTCTAGTGTGTGTACGCCGGCAGCCTAGTGGTCGCCGTGGTAACTCATCATTAGGTGATTAATGGGGCTGTGACGAGGCTGTGGTTTAATCAGGCCTAGAGTTTGTGTTGAAACCGACGACATGAGCAGCTGCCCTGTCAGTTGGTGTCTACTCATGAGATGACAACACCCGCTGCTGAGGAGTGCCTTTGTCAAATATCTTTCATTGTGTGTTAGTTTTGACACACTCACCCACACCATCTCTCTGTTCTTCACCTCACCTTTTTTTTTTGGCTCTTCCAATAAAAGCTTGCACATATCCTTTTCAATTCAGTTTTTTTTTCCTGGCTCAATCTCTATTTCTCCCTCATTTTTCACTCTTCCACCCCTCCATCACAGCCACGGTAACACCGGTGCTGATTGCCTGGCCTGAACCCTCTGGGAGCTGTAATAACTATTTCTAGTTAAGTTGTTGCCGTTGGGGGTGGCGGGAGGGGTTAACACTGGCAGTAAATGAGAAGCCTCCTTTGTAGGTGCTGTGTGTGGGTCCGGTGTGCTGCTTCAGCTTCACCCACTTCACTGTTTATGGAGGATTCAGGAGAAAGTGGTAGCTGGATAAAGATAGCTGTAAGTGGCAGCGAACCTAGCATGGCAAATGACTGATTCTGCCTCCTTCCTTTCCCCTCCCTCACCCAACGGATTGCTATATTCTTCCCTCCAGAGCTGTCACTTCACATTATCAGTGTTGTGACTGTCAGCCAGGGCACTGGGTTGGGGTGGGGTGCAGTGCAGAAGCCAGAGTATACAGAGAGAGAGTCAGGGATGAGCAGAATTGAGCCTGGTGTCATCACAAATGGTTTTAGTGAAGCTAGTTTAGTAACTCTGTCACTGAGCTTTACGCTGCATATTTTATGTGGCTTTACACATCAGACTCCCTCTGTGTGTACATCAAAAGAAAACAAACGCCGACATCATTCTCTAGGTATTCAGACTGTATCCTACCATAATACTTGGCTCCCATATTCAGTTATGCCTTGTTTAATTTTGTTGTTGTACTTGCTCCACGTACCTTCCTGTCTCTTCTTTTGCCCCAGTGTTTGAGGGTGTCACCAGCAATATTATGTTTCTTTTAGAAAAAAAAATGGTGTCAATTGGCTGCAACTCTGAGCCAGCATCTGGGAGCCTTAAGTCTTTTAAGTGGTCAAACCGTGGAAGTAATGGGGCGCAGTCTTGTCCTTAATACAAAAGATTACGCAATGGCGATATAAAGGGCGTATGGGGGCGGTCTCTGTGCTGCCGTGGACTTCCATTTAACTTAGACATAACTTGCTTTCTATTGCAATCGAAGCTGCGTTCATTACGTTATTATTATTTTTTTGTGACAAGCCGCTCCTAAAGGTTGCTTTCCTCTGTAGTCCCTGTGAACGGTCTGGTGATCTGAGCTCCAGTTCTAACGGAGAGAAGCTACCAGATCTCTGCATCGCTCCAGTTTATCATCTTAGCTGGTTCTGTGTACAAAGTGAAACTAACTGCCTGTGCTTACCTTCATTTTCATATAGTTGTCAGCTGGAGCTCGGCAGTAACTCCCCATGTGATCCTGACACCTAGCCTGGCCTGCCAGAATTGTCCTCTGTTTAATTCTGCACAGAAAGAGTCTGGTTACTCACAGGCACAGAGGCACATGAGGGGTGGGATTAGGCAGCTCAAAAACAACCAATCAGAAAAAATACGGAAATGCCGACTGGTACAGACGCTGTAGTTTTTTTTAGCTGTAGTCAAAAATGGCGTCTGGCAACGGCACAAACATCTTTTTTCTTTTTTAGAAGAAAGACTTGGCGCTTCTACTTGTTGTGGTTTTAAAGACATTCAAATCATTCAGAACAGAGGAAAGAGCCGCAGCGAACTCCGCCGCAGTCTTCGTTGTTTGAAAAACTGAGCGTCGCTATGTGTGACGTCCGCAAAGCTGTAGTTTTTTTTTAGTTGTAGTCAAAAATGGCAACTGGCGACAGAGCAAACATCTTTCTTTAGAAGAAAATCTTTAAGTGCTTCTACTTGTGGGTTTAAAGACGTATCCAAGTCATTTAGAACAGAGGAAAGAGCCGCAGCGAACTCCACTTCAGTCGCCATGTTTATGAGAAACTCGGCGTTACGGTGTGTGACGTATGCTACTCAGCGCTGATTGGCTCAGTTAGAAATCTCACGGGGTGGGGTTATTTGAATAGGAGAGTTCCCAGACTAGGGTTGTCACGGTATGAAAATGTAACCTCACGGTTATTGTGACCAAAATTATCACGGTTTTCGGTATTATCGCGGTATTTTTTAAACGGTGTTGCATATGTTCAGAAAGCATTGATAGTCCTGTTCTACACAAACTGAAATAGTTCTGAAAAGGTTTAACAGTGTTTATTAAACCTAAAATAACACAAAGCCTTAGCAAAAGTGCAACTTTTCACAAGTAAAGGAACAAATAGCTTATTTTTCTGGAACTTGTTACAGTAGTCAGTGCAGGTTTAAATTATACAAATCCAAACATTCAAAACATAAACAATATGTAAACAAATCAAAGAAACACCACTTGTTTTCTCATATACTTGTTTTCTTCATTATCAAAATGAAAATCTAAAACTCCAGTCCACACTTGACTTGAGCACTGTACAAGTCAACCTTAAAAAATATGTATTTAAAATAAATATCCACTTTAAACAAATTACTAAAATAACTACTACACTATGTAATCAAATCCAAATGTTCAAGTATAAATGGCATTGAATAAGTAAACAAATCCATGACAAGGAACTAATTGTATATTTCTCTTCATCATCAACAAATAAGATGCTTCATCCAGCAACAGGGTGTCCGTGACACGGTTTAAATGCTGGCAGAGGACGCTGCGGCTGCAGTATATAGTGACTCGTTGCATTCTCCCTCAACCAAAAGTCCTCACGTCATGCATTTCAGCTAAAATGCTAATGTTAACTTACCTTGCACTGACTGTGGAGACGTGGGTGATCGTCACGCAGATGTGCCATGAGATTTGAAGTGTTGCTGCCTTCTGCAGACACTTGTTTCCTGCACGTTCTGCAAACGGGATAGCAGTCTTCTATTAACTGTCCCTCAGCATTTTTCAGAAATCCCAAATATGCCCATACTTCCGATTTAGTCTTCTTTGAGGGCTGATGGATGTCCTGGGCGCTGCCGTCGCCTCCTTCGGCCATTATTTCAGCTTCAAAGTTTTGGTGCCGTTGCAAATTAAAAAGTGCGTGTGCGCGCAGCGGGAACTTCAGCTGAAGCGACGGTGGCTGGTAAGGGTCATCGCGCCGAAACTGCGGCCACGGTAAACCCACCGAGATAATATAGTTTTTTAAAAACTGGACGGTTATTTTTATTGTCAACTTTTTTACCGGGGTTTACCGCTATACCGGTTACCGTGACAACCCTATCCCAGACCCTTTCTCTGTGCAGAATTAAATGGGAGGAGTCTGGCAGGCCAGGCTACATGACACCACCCTCTATTTTGTCAAGACGTAATATGCATTCATAAGTCCGGCGTTGGGGCAAGCAGGGTTGTCACAGTGTGAAAATTTAACCTCACGGTAATTGTGACCAAAATTATCACAGTTTTCGGTATTATCGTGGTATTTTTTATAACGTGTTACATTTTCTGACAACTAAATAAACCCTGTAGATCAGGAAAATATTGTCCTCAGTTTTTCTAAATTTTTCCTAAAATTTGTTATTTATAGTTATGTTGTTTATTTGTTTACATTTTTCCCCTTTAGTCTTCAAAATACCAATATTTGCACATAACTTCTTATTTTTTGTCTGTTTGATGTCATCATTTTAAAAATATTAGATCAGATGATACTCAGTACTCAAGTAGCCTTCTAATCAGATACTTTTTTTTACCCTTACTTGAGTAATAAACCCCTATATCAGGAAAATATTGTCCTCGGTTTGTGTCCTTCCAGTGAGCTTTGCAGATTTGGGAAAATGTCATCAGGCAGTAATCATTGTTAAATTCATAATTATTCTCGGAGAGAGACCAACTCTTATCTGCCCCTGGGAGCCCCGTAATGCATAGCATCATTTCAACATGGGGGTGTCCGTGACACGGTTTATATGCAGGTAGCGGCACTGCGGCTGCTTTATATAGCGACTCGTTGCTTTCTCCCTCAACCCAAATCCTCGGATCACGCATTTTAGCTAAAGCGCTAACGTTAACTTGCCTTGCGTTGACTGTAGAGTTGTGGGTGATGGTCACGCAGATGTGTCATGAGATTTGAAGCGTTGCTGCCTTTCACAGACACTTTTTCTGCACGTGCTGCAAAAAGGATCGCCATCTTCTATCAGCTGTCCCTCGCCATTCTTCAAATATCAAAAAAATTCCCGTACTTCCGGCTTTGTCTTCTTTGAGGGATAATAAATGTCTTGAGCACTGCCGTCTCCTCCTTTGGCCATTATTTCAGCTTTAGCTTCAAGAAAGTTTTGGTTGTAAACAAACCCTATACCCATGTGCCGCCTGCAACTTCAGTAGATGATACGGTGGCTGGTAAGGGTCACCGCGCCTACACCGCAGCCACGGTAATCCACCGAGATAATATATTTTTTTAAAAACAAGACGGTTAGTATTATTGTCAACTTTTTTACCGGGGTTTACCGCTACATCGGTTACCGTGACAACCCTACTACCAAGCGTGGCAGCATGAATGCTGTAAAATTCCTGCATCACCATGCCGCCACAGCGCTTTCACAAGACACACCGTGGTGACAGTATTATGCCGATTTGCAGGCATCGTGCGTCTTCTATAAAGGGCTTTAGAGTACTCTGCTGGAGGAGCCTGTAGGAGCTTGTATTTCTCTAACCCACCTCCTTTATTTGATAACAATCCATTTGTTTTGTTTTTTTTAAGTGTGATAAGCAACAAATATTGCTAACTGGGTCTAATTGTCTGTCTTCTTTTGCCCACAGTTTTCCTGAAACACTGGGGTTGTTGGTGTGGTCGAATTTTCCCTGGATTTGACTGGTAAATTCAGAATTCTGAAGCCCAGGCTCACAGTCTACCTTTCACGGAGGCCCAGCCGTGAGAGGACTGAGGAAGGCACGTGGCGGATCATGACGGCCGACAAAGAAAAGGAAAGAGAGAAAGAGCGGGACAGGGACAGAGACAGGGACAGGGACAAAAGAGAGCCCGGTAAGTCCCGCCGGCAGGACGTGGACCGGGGCGATCGTGAAAGTGAGAGCTCCAGGCCTCGCCGCAGCTGTACGCTAGAGGGGGGAGCCAAGAACTATGCAGAGAGCGAACACAGTGAAGATGATGACAACGATAATGGTAGTACTGGCGGAGGCAGCGGGACGGCCGAGGAGGCTGGCAAGAAGGGCAAAAAGAAGATGCCCAAGAAGAAGTCCCGCTATGAGCGCACAGAGAACGGAGAAATCACATCCTTCATTACAGAAGATGATATTGTTTACAGACCCGGAGGTGAGTCCTTGTCATGGGTTTTCTAATTGTGTTAGCAGGTCAGTCTTGCTACAGACTGCAGCTTTTATTTATTAGTTTACTTATTAGAACTATCTAACACCAGTGCTCACACACTTTAGGTAACAGGAAAACAATGATCAATAATGGATTATTCCTAAAGAACCGGTCATTTCTTGTGCAATGAGCTGCAGAGGCATTGCAGATTTTTCAAAGTCGCAAATCTCTTAACAGCAGAAACTCTCCCTCAGGCTAAAGGCCGCTGCATCATGCAATCAATTCTGTGACCCTCTCTGAGCTTTGTCTTGATCTGAGTCAATAAAGCAAAGTGGTGCTTCGCTAGATGATGCGATTGTGACAAAAGCCATGATAATGATTTCATCCCAACACCATTTGACTCGCTGAAAATATGCCATGGTCTCTGGCCCCATAAGGAACTACAATTTCCTAGAAACATTTCTGAATGGCTGTGAAATGATCGAGTCAGAGGACGAACCAACTTTATTCACGGCTGTAAACAAGGATGAACTTTGACTTTCACCTAATGAAATAAGTGTGTGTCCTTTCTCCTGTTGCTGCAACTAAATCATTGCTGCTGCATCTTGCATTCATATAGGTGCTAGTGAAAGGTCAAAGAGTGTAGGAGGAGCAGATCCTGTTGGCTTGTTTGGCAATCAAAAGGATTTTAACTACATACATAAAGACTATTTGTTTCACAATTAGCTAAATGCAATAGCACATATCAGTTTAGCTGGTTTTCATGGATCGGTTTCTAAAAACAAAAAGTTTGTTTTTGACTGACCGACAGTAAATTGAGCATTGTTAATGTTGATGTTAATTTCAAGTTAAGGTGAGATGTTAATGTATGTTTTTTTTTCTATATGGTTTTGCTCATGTTTTGATTCCCTACTGAAACACACTGAATGACTGCATGCATCTATCTGGTGATAACGCTACATTATTGTTGGCAAGTGTTGAAGCTGGTAAATACCATTGATGAGTCTGTTGAGATTGGACTAGTCATCAGTACCCCTTACCCAAACAAGAAAACAACAAAAACGCAAAATATTTTAATATCTTTTTAATATTTTTAGCTCTACGTCTGACATCTGAGTGAAGCGATATTTATGCCTTTTGTCTTCAGTTAATTTGTTGGGTTTATACTGGCTCAGATGCCACACCACACTCCTACCACGAGGACCGGTGTTGTTAGATTGGTTTAGATTAAGCTTAAGCCCCGACTAGTGGTGACAGCCTCAGCACTCGTACACTCATTTGTAATTTACCTCCTAGTGTCAACATGGAAGATCCTCTGACTCACCAACAGACTTCCTGCTGTCTCCTCTTTTCATTGTTCAGTTGATAAGCTGCGTGTGTGTGTGTGTGTGTGTGTGTGTGTGTGTGTGTGTGCGTGCGTGTGCGTGCGCTCATTTCCCTCCTCCTGCTTGGTCATTGGTAGCTGCCTTCTTGCAATCAGATTTGATGTGTGCGGCTTAGGCAGACACAAAGCCTGCAATGGATTATGCTTTACTAAATGTTAAATCCCTTTATAGCCGTCTAGTGACATACAATATGTAAAACTGACCACCCTCAGAGAGAGATTTGCACTGCCCTAGATGTATGTAATATGAGGATGGAGAGCGCTGCAGAGGCTAAAACAAACTGTAGCAGTTGTTCTGATGTCACAGAGGTTTTGACATATGCAGGCCTGTCATCACGCGAGAGAGAAACACTCCCAGGCTTCCCCTTCCCCCCAAATCTCTCTGCTTAGCCTTTCTATCCCTTCAAAATGGTTTTGGGCAGTTTAGTGCACATCGATTAGGAGGGAATAAGTGGAAAAGGGAAGTGTAGGTGACCAGTAGGTAGACCTGCAGCTAACTCAAGATTTATAGTTGTTTAGAAGGTTAGAGGAGTGTGTCTATGGTGATGGCCTGAGGACTATGTCCCAGACCATTTGTATGGGCTGCTGCTGTGGTGAACAGCCTAATGCAGGGCGAGCAGACGGGCCAGATCGAACCATGCCCTGTGGCTGAGATTTCAGCACTTCTCCAGGCCCGGCTAGACACCTCTGAGCCTGTTCTCTGCACTCATCCACCCCCACCACCCCAGATTATAGATCCTCTCTTTAGAGATTATACACATTGCCAGGGGGGATCAATAGGAGACACCATGGAAGCACAGAGACGCACACAAAAGAATTGTCAGTGCACACATTTATTGTCCAGTGATGGCCACTAGTTTTGCACACCAACACTGTGACACTTAAGCATGCACTAACAGGTTTACATGGTGTAATTCGTATTCGTATATGCACCGTTTGGTCTCTGATAAGCACACTGCAACACACTCGACACCCCGGTCTAATAAACACAGAAATATCCCCCCTCTCCTCTCTGCAGAAGGTGGCTCCTTCCTCTGAATCACTGTGGCAGCTTTAAAATGGAGTCTCTTCACCCTAGAAAGAGAAAATCATTTAAAGAATACACATAATTTCACTGAGGCTCTTTTAAAAGAATGTGTTTAATACATAGTGATATTTTCATCCACTGCTTTTGTATATACAGTTAGAAGCATTTTTCTTTAAGCATTTTATGAGCCATGTCATTTTGTTTGGCAATCTTTAGAGAGGAAAATGTTCATTGTTATAATGTAGAGCACCTATAAGAGGCCACTGAAGTGTGATTTTGTTGAAGTTGGAGCCAAGACAACTGGCAAAGCCTGTTGGCACAACCCTTCCCCTCTGCTGCAGAGGCTAGCTGTCGATCACTTAGCAGCTTCTAGTCGAGCTAAAGTAAGGGACGAGCCCTAGGAGATGTTTCCTGTTGAAACATGGCAGTATGAATCTGTAGCTTGTCATTAACTGAGCAGATCTATTTTTAAAAGGCCCACTCCACGCTGCTGTCTCTCCCTCCGCTGGAGACTCTGGGAAAAGAACGTTTTGGTGAAATCCAACCACCTGCCGACTGCTAAATGAGAAAGCGTGGGCTAGCCGAGAGGGAAAGAGAGGGGCTGAATGAGAGGGGGGTGGTGTTGTCAAAGAGCCTCTGTTCTCCCTTAGGAGCTCAGTCAGCTGTAGACCTGCCCTATTGTGGAGAGCTGATAATATTGCTTGCCAGGTATTTCCCACTGCTTTTCCACTGAGTAGAACTGAGGCTTGTTGGGAGAGTAGAGAGGAAGGAAAGCTGAGGAAAAATCAAATGTCCTTGCACCTTTAGGCCTTGACTTCGTGTAGCACCATCCTACTGGGAGCAGCCCAGCAGGAAGAAGCATAAGGCAGCCTCGGTCATCAGCTGGTCTCTGTTAAATCACTTGTAACACAAATATCCTGTTCCTTTCTATTGTCACTGGCCCTCTGGTCCCTTTAGACCCACATAATCACTTTCTTTTTAAATTTAGGATCCTTAAACTAGATTGAAGGGTGGTGTGCCTAAAGTTGCACTCCCTTTTGTTGTGTGCGTGTGTGTCTTTCAGTTTGAGCCCAGCACCACTTTTAACAATGCAGGTGCATCCTGCCTCATGGCTAACGCTCAGCGCCTGCAAGCGTGACTCAAACAAACACTCCTTTTGATTTAATAAGCCCGTCTAGCATCCTACAATATGCACCCCCTTCCCAGTAACACTGTTTACAAAACACTGGTATATACGGCAGTTTTCCACTATGTGACTCGCTCATTGTTGTGAGGTTGTGAGAGAAAGGCAAACCGATATTACCCAAGCTCACTCCCCCACCCCACCCCTTCCCCGCTGAAATGCTGCAGCAAATTAAACGGCATCCATTGGTTTGAATAACGCACGGCCTCCTTGCTGAGGGTAGGTGTGTTTTAGATTAGACATGCTTGGCAGCTCTTACAGATTGGCAAGCTGAACACAAAGTTACAGCGAAAGGGAAATATTGAGTAACTTGGTGTGTATCGTGAGGTTATATCAATCAATATGCAGTTGATTGAACTCCGGCGACGGAGTAACTGGAGAAACTGTGTCCACCAGGATTAGATTTCATTGAAGTGTTCCAGTCTACTCAGTGGCTTCACAATTGTCCCCCTTTGTCAGAGTATTGAGCTCTTGGCCTTTGTCTGGGTGGCATGGCAGTGAAGCAGTGGATTGTGGGAGAAGTTAAACTTGCTGCTGAAGTAATGAGAGCACATCTCTGCAAAGGTCCTGCTTTGGTTCCTCTCCTTTCTCAGTGAAGGCTATGTCCGTACAGCCAGCACTCACTTCAATCCTCAAAACTACCATCCCCCACCCAGAGTCTCGCCGCCGTTAAACCCCTCTCCTCCCTCCTCTCTCCACTTGAGCGAGGAGACCCTTTTGCAAACACACAAAATGGCAGAAATGTTTAACTAGCAAGGCAGACCCTCAAGGAACTGGGATGTCCATTCGACCAGTTGCCCTATATAACCTCCCCTAAGCGCCGTCTCCCCCCATTTTTCAATCATACAGCAGATTTTCAAGCATTAACTTTGGTTCAACTTCTACATTGGTAGCATTTAGTCGCTTTCAGAGGAATGCCCTTGAGGAAGTGGACTTTCCAAGCCCAAAATGAATTCAAAATGTGCTTTTGACGTTTGAAGAATAGACTCGCACGCTGTCTGTGAATGATTAAACTAGACACCCCCCTCCATGCTCTCCACCCACCCACCACCGCCACCATCTCCTATCTTTTTCATTCTCGCTGTCTGGTCTTTGTGCCTGTTGATGTGCTGCTCATGGGTGTAGACACAGAGATTTGGCTTCCCTAAACGAATTTGCCGCCAAGGTGAGGGGACACTAAACTCTAATCCCCCCTGATTTGACTCCTCCGAAACATGTCATCTCCTTCAGATTAGTCTCTTTTGTTCTCCGCCCTCCCCCACTGTCCTGCTCCCTCCTCCCAACTCCTCTCTGTCGCTCATCACACACAAACCTTTGCGCTGCTTACAGATCTCACAATAGGACCGATGGATATTTTCATTCATGTTATCTTGTAAATGACTTCCAGGGATGCTGTTAAGGAGGGGAGGGAGAATAGGAAAGGGCGGGGGGGAAAGCAGGAAGAGGGCAGCAGTGAGAGAGATACAATGCGTCAGTCAGACCCAGCATGGGTGATTAGCCCCCCCCCCCCCTTTAGAACAGCTCATTCAGCTCACAGCAGATAACAAGCCCACCCTGGGGTTACACACACACACACACTTACACACACACACACGCACGCACGCACACACACACACACACACACACACACACACACACACACACACACACACACACACACACACACACACACACACACACACACACACACACACACACACACACACACACACACACACACACACACACTCCAAAAACAAAGACAATGATGTCAGAGGCGCACTTGTACACACCAGCACCTCTACAAATGATATCTTGGGTGTCAGGGCCATTTAATATCTTTCCCAGGCCTCTTTCCCTCTGCAAGCGGTAAGATAAACCGCAGCCAGATCGATAACTGTGTTGACACAAACAAATAAATAACAGATGATGGCGGTGTCAGTCACTGGGAAGAAAAAGAAAGGTGGCTACAGATCTTTTGTTAGGGAAAGTGTGGCTTGGCTCTCCTGCTTGAAACAGCTCTGCGTGTGTTTTTGGTGAAACGAGCACCAGCAGTTTGTGTTGTCAGTGTAAATCTTTACCCGCGGTGGAGATGTAGTCGTCCTCCTTAACTGTTGATGGTTGCACAAGCGCTGCTGTCCTTTGCACCAAATGTTTGGAAACTGACCCACAGGAGCTGACGGGTGGCCTGTTTTAAATAAATGAAAGCTTTAAAATCTACTTTTATCAAGAAAATAATGGTACTGTTTGAACCACAAAAAACAAATGGATTGGTCACTTAAACTGCAGTGGGGGGTCTCTTTTTTCTGTATTGGGTCTAATAATACCTGGCTGTGTCTGGAGAATGCTGTGCCAGACTTAGCAGTAACCATTAGCCACTTCCCCTCCCTCCCTCCTCTTTTCCTTCTCCACAGAAGTGGCTGTGTGTTTTTGTCCTCTGCAGCGTGAATGTTTTTGTTAAGGAGATGAGAGTTCACGACCTGGCCATACCACCAGTCACATTCAATTTAACAACACAGCCAGCCACAGCCGCCACTCCTCACAGTGTTACAGGCCTGCTGCTGACATCATTAAGCCCCGATTTTAAAATGAATGAGACGTGGAGGGTGGCTTACTCTTTTTTTTCCCATTGTTTCACTCAAACTCAAAGCTAATTAAAAGTTGATGACCCCCCCCCCCCCCTATTAAAACATCTGTTATCAAATCAGGTTAAAATAATCATTTCAACCAGTCCTAATATTACAGTTCTGCATGTCCTCTTCACTGAGGCAGTGCCAGTGTTTATTCTGACTCTGTGTTTAGTCTTGCACCAAATCTTTTCCATTCTAAAGCAAAGGATTTCCTTTTTTTGGCCTGGAAACTTGTTTTCAGAATGGCACCAACTTTTTGTTGGATTAAAACCAAGAACAAAGTGCTTCTAGATGAGTCTGTTATATTATTTTTTTTTTTCTGTTTTCTTTCTGGCAGATTGTTGATTTAATATTTACAATCTTCTTTTTTGAATGTTGCTACAAACATCAGCTGGTGTTTATGAATTTAGAACTTTTTATGTGTTGCATAAAACATGACTTCAACAGCCTGCATAAGTCACACGACTGGGACGAGGGGACGTTCAGCACAATAACATGCGTGTCTTACGTTATCATGTAACATCAAAGTTTCAGTTATGAGTGAAAATGTTGTCCGGAAATTGAGTTTTGAGATTTTGAAGGTTGGGATAACTCCGAGGCCGCACAGTGATGACTGGAGGGTGGGATGAGGTTAAAGTCAGTATTGCTCACTGGTGTATAAATGGTGTGGAACAATAACATAATTCCCCTTGGGCGTGATGTTTGCTTTGGAAAGGCAACCTTGTAGCGCTCCAAAAGTCTTTAATCCTATTACTCACATTCCAATTGAATTTGACTCGAGGAGGAAAATGTTTTTTCAGCAGAGGTAACGGCACAATGATCCCTATATTACTGACTCTGGCTGTAAAAAAAATCATGAAAGCTCTGATAAGTGTGAACATCATCATCTCTAAAAACCCTTTTCCCCTCTCTTACAGATTGTGTGTACATAGAAAGTCGGCGGCCCAATACTCCATACTTCATTTGTAGCATTCAGGAATTCAAGCTGGTGAGTAGATTTTTAACCCTTCTCTTATTCTTTCTGATGTTCCTTTCTCGTCACTTTTGTCTGGGATTCACCGTGTTTTTGCTGAGTAACGCGCTGCTGTTGCTCATGTGGGAAGAAATAAAAAAATCTGTGCTTTGGCTGCATCTTCAGTGTTGAACGTTCGTCGGGGTGACATGGAGGTCACAATGCTTATATTTTAAGAAAACCCATGGTTACTGCTTCTGGAAGACAAATTAGGAATAATTGGTATGAATCTGTTGGGTTGCTAGCTGCCTGTTGAGCTGTACACGTGTTGTTTCCGACACCAATTCCTTCATTATTATTTTTTAATAAATCATTAAATGTGATTGTGAATGAGCAGCTGTTGTGTCTGGATCAATAGATTCGTGCAGCAGAATAACTAAAGGTGGGATATAATGTTTTTGCAATAGAATTACAACTGAAGGTGATAGGAACTGCACCGCTGACATAAATATTAGGAGAAATTAGTCTCTAATTAAATACTCTATTTTACAATTGATTAAAATCTGACTATTGTTTTTTTTTTCTTTTACTTCACGTGCAGGGAGTGTTTCCTCTATAAAGACATAAACACCCCTCCCCTGAGAATCTGGATGGAGCCTGGAGTGTGTTGTGCAGTAGTGCCAGCATTGAAAATATAGATGTTTGTAGATGCACATAATTGATTTAATGAAGGGGACTCTCACCAGTTTTCTATTGATTTTTTGCAGCATAATGTGGCCAGATAACCCTTTTCCCTGAATAAAGAAATAAATTAGTTTGTAATTTGCTGAGAGAATGGCTGATTCATCAGGCTCAGTCCGTTCAGGGAGGAGAAGCTTGTTTTTCTTAGCAACAGGAACCTTAAATCGTACTCACTCACACACACACACACACACACACACACACACACACACACACACACACACACACACACACACACACACCTACATGCACGTCGTGCAGGTCAGGAATAAAAAACTAGATAATTTCAGATGATTTTTACCGTATTGATAATAATGAATGGTTTTATGTTGGGGTTTTCTCCCCTCAGAGTTCACCGCACTCAAGTAATTGTCCACCAAACACATTTTTATCAGAAAATTGCTGAATTGAGGATGTGATTTTGTTGTTTTCAATTGGTCTGTAGCAGTTATTAACACATATTAAGGACATATATGTAATGAATGTGTCTTTTGATGGCCAAAGACTAAAGAAATATGTTATTGTTATGCGTTTTTAATGCCACTTGACAGGTGCAGCTAAACTAGAGTGAGAATTGTCTGTCTAATAAGAGACCGGCTGTCCAAATGGAGCACAAACACTTGGCGTGTAGCGTCTAGGCCCCAAGGCCAAACTAATTGTGGCCAAAAAGCACAGTCAGCTCAGATGTCACCTACTCAGCATTTTGAATAGGTGAAATAGTAACTGAATGTTTATTTGTGCATGGACAAGAGGCCATGCCCAAAATTGTGTGTGTGCATGTGAGAGAATACTATTGTGATGAAGGACAGTTTTTATGTGCAGAAGAGGTTTTAAGGTGACTTGGAGGCCTTGCCGCCGTGCCCTACAGCAGTGAGGTTTTAATCGGATTGCAGCTCTGTGAATGCTTAGGGTTGCAAAAACTCCTGCACATATAAAGACTCTGTGTGTGTGTGTTTATTTATATATATATATATATATATATATATATATATACAGTGGGGCAAAAAAGTATTTAGTCAGCCACCGATTGTGCACGTTCTCCCACTTAAAATGATGACAGAGGTCAGTAATTTACATCATAGGTACACTTCACCTGTGAGAGACAGAATGTGAAAAAAAAATCCATGAATTCACATGGCAGGACTTTTAAAGAATTTATTTGTAAATCAGGGTGGAAAATAAGTATTTGGTCACTTGAAACAAGGAAAATCTCTGGCTCTCACAGACCTGTAACGTCTTCTTTAAGAAGCTTTTCTGTCCTCCACTCGTTACCTGTATTAATGGCACCTGTTTGAACTCATTATCTGTATAAAAGACACCTGTCCACAGCCTCAAACAGTCAGACTCCAAACTCCACTATGGCCAACACCAAAGAGCTTTCGAAGGACACCAGGAAAAGAACTGTAGACCTGCACCAGACTGGGAAGAGTGAATCTACAATAGGCAAGCAGCTTGGTGTGAAAAAATCAACTGTGGGAGCAATTATCTTAAAATGGAAGACATACAAGACCACTGATAATCTCCCTCGATCTGGGGCTCCACGCAAGATCTCATCCCGTGGGGTCAAAATGATCATGAGAACGGTGAGCAAGAATCCCAGAACCACACGGGGGGACCTGGTGAATGACCTGCAGAGAGCTGGGACCACAGTAACAAAGGTCACCATCAGTAACAGACTACAACGGCAGGGAATCAAATCCTGCAGTAACAGACGTGTTCCACTGCTGCAGCCAGTGCATGTCCAGGCCCATCTGAAGTTTGCCAGAGAGCTCATGGATGATACAGCAGAGGATTGGGAGAATGTCATGTGGTCAGATGAAACCAAAGTAGAACTTTTTGGTACAAACTCAACTCGTCGTGTTTGGAGGAAGAAGAATACTGAGTTGCATCCCAAGAACACCATACCTACTGTGAAGCATGGGGGTGGGAACATCATGCTTTGGGGCTCTTTTTCTGCTAAGGGGACAGGACGACTGATCCGTGTTAAGGACAGAATGAATGGGGCCATGTATCGTGAGATTCTGAGCAAAAACCTCCTTCCATCAGTGAGAGCTTTGAAGATGAAACGTGGCTGGGTCTTCCAACACGACAATGATCCCAAACACACCGCCCGGGCAACAAAGGAGTGGCTCCGTAAGAAGCATTTGAAAGTCCTGGAGTGGCCTAGCCAGTCTCCAGACCTCAACCCCATAGAAAATCTGTGGAGGGAGTTGAAAGTCCGTGTTGCTCGGCAACAGCCCCAAAACATCACTGCTCTCAAGAAGATCTGCATGGAGGAATGGGCCAAAATACCAGCTACTGTGTGTGCAAACCTGGTAAAGACCTATAGTAATCGTTTGACCTCTGTTATTGCCAACAACAGTTATGTTACAAAGTATTGAGTTGAATTTTTGTTATTGACCAAATACTTATTTTCCACCCTGATTTACAAATAAATTCTTTAAAAATCCTGCCATGTGAATTCATGGATTTTTTTTCACATTCTGTCTCTCACAGTTGAAGTGTACCTATGATGAAAATTACTGACCTCTGTCATCATTTTAAGTGGGAGAACTTGCACAATCGGTGGCTGACTAAATACTTTTTTGCCCCACTGTGTATATATGTGTATATATATATATATATATATATATATATATATATAAACAACACACACCTGCACCATGGTTAAGAGTGCCTAGAGAGGTAGGGGGCAGACAGAGGTAATTGTCCTGGGAGAAAGATAGAAAATCGTCTGCATTAACTGACCTCTCCATTTAGCTCTCTGTATCGTTCTGCTGCTCCCTCCCCCAGTCCATCTGTAATTAATGACCAGCCATCTGCATGTTAGTGTGAGTATGAGCAGACTGCACCCTTGTCCTCCTATGCTATAACAACAGGCCCTACTGGCTTTCTAAACAAGTACAGTATTTCTTCATTGAGCTCACCTTGTCACAGGGCAGCAAATCACTAAAGCTTGCTGCTCTGTGACTGCAGTCAAAGCTCGTAATCTCTCATAGTCATGCATAAAATCCTCTGTTAGGATGATGGTTGATTTATTTTTGTAGATGTTGGTGTGAGCTGCCACTTGCTGACCTGATTTAAGTATGTGCTGTCACTTTATACTTAAAATATAATTACAGACATGTGCTTAAAGGTTCTCACATACTAAACCAACGTCAAGAACCAGCGGAGGCACCCTGCTGCCGCTCTGGGAAAATTAAAAGATTGCTGCAAAGAAACATCTACTCCTCTCCTGTGCAAGTAAAACTGATGCTGAACACCACATATTGATTGTTTGTTTTTATGTCATTTATCAAAAACATAAACAAGTCACGTGTTTATTTAGCACTCTATCCGGGAACTCACTGCTAATTTGAAATATCAGACTAGCTAAAAAACGTGTTCTGACTGAGCCGACACTCTAGATTATTTAGTTTTATATTTTATGGCCCCTTTAGAATAAAACAAATGCGTATCCGCTGTGACCAACATCATCTCTTGCCTTCTCACAACATATTAAAGATATACAGCAGGCAGCTTGATACCCAGGTAAGAAAGAAACCACAATATTCTTTTATCACTCATCTCTCCCCATCCCCCACCTTTTCTTGCCACAGAACATATTGATCAACCCTCTCTATGTGGTGTAAGCAGCCTTTGGAGGCGCAGCATAGGGTAGAGAAATTTTATTGGTGCTGAACCAAACAACCTCATCAATATTGCCCCTCTTGCACCCTTCTCAATTTTCCTGTCTATGTGCCCTAGTCTTTAAGCTGGAACAGTCTCAATTGTCTACTTTATCTAATGACCTGTGAATCCAATTAGTGGTGTGTAGAAAACCTGAATGCAGCCATCAATCTCTTGTGTGTGGATAAAGGCAAGGATGGAAGCCTGCCTCTTTTTCCTCTCCCCATTCTTTTTGTGGTGAGAGCTCAGCCGTGCTTCAAGGATTCAGCCTTCTGCACGCAAACTCACACTTCCAGCAATAATGCATGCAAAACAAGAAAAGGAGAGAAGAAAAATCAATCCCACATTATGACTGGGGTCATTCTTGTCTTGGAGGACAATCATTTTCCCTAGCTTGTTTACTCAACAGTGGCAGCTGTGGTGCCCACTACAACCTCTGTGACATATTGATCTGCTCTTATAGATTTCAGCCTCCTGCTTTCCCCCTAAACACGTCTGCCCAGATACAGTGATGACCACTGGTAAGCCATTATAAGACCAGAGGTGGATGATGCTCCTTGCCAAAATTGCACATCTGCGCACATCTTCAAATAAATAGCTAGTAACCAGTTATGTGAAATATTTAG